GACAGACCTGGTTTCCTTCCAACAAGACTGAGGTACACAGTCACCCTCATTCTGTAGATGAGGAAACTGAGGAACAGAGGGGGAGGAAACTTTCCAATGTCACACAGATAGTGTGTCCCATGTAGGATACGAACTCGGGTCATCTGGCTCCTGCCGTTCCTGGATCCAGCCTCTCCTGCAACTTCAGGTAGGTGGCCGCCACACTCTCTCTCAGAACACCTCCTGAGAGTGGAGGGACATTCAGGCATGAGCCCCACCCGATCCCCAACTTGCGTGAATCCCCGCTGGGAGGGGAAGGCTAGTAGGGGAAGGAGCCCTGGAAGTGAGGAAGCCATAGGAGAGACGTGACAGCTGGAAAGTGGTCACCCCTCCCCGACACACTGCCCTCCAAGAACTGTCTGCATTTGTTTTCATCACCAGAGGGTGTGTAGGCTCACTGACAGAGAGAGAGAGACAGAGAGAGAGAGACAGACAGAGAGACAGAGAGAGAAAGAGAGAGAGAAAAAAAGAGAGAGGAAGAGAGGGAGAGAAAGAGAAAGAGAGGGACAGAGGAAGAGAGAGAGAGAAAGGAAGAAAAAGAGAGGAAGAGAGAAAAAGAGAAAGAAAGAGAGAGAGAGAAAGAGAGGAAGAGAAAGAGAGAGGAAAAAAGAGAGAAAGAGAAAGAAAGAGAGAGAAAGAGAGAGAGGAAGAGAGAGAGAAAGAAAAAGAAGAGAGGAAGAGAGAGAGAGAAAGAAAGGAAGAGAGAGAGAAAGAGAAAGAAAAAAGAAAGAGGAAGAGGAAGAGAGGAAAAGAGAGAGAAAGAGAAAGAGAGAGAGAAAGAGAGAGGAAGAGAGAGAGAAAGAAAGAGAGAGGAAGAGAGAGAGAGAAAGAGAAAGAAAAAGAGAGAGAGAGGAAGAGAGGGAGAAAGCACCTCCCAATGGGGGTGATCACACACAGTCTCTCCTCCATTTCTCGACCCCTATACAGGTCCAGTGTGTTTTTCAAGCACCAGGACCCGGATTTAAACCTCAGTCAGCCACTCAGGGTCCAGCTTCCTCAATGCTTATGCTGTTGAGCTGGTCCCTCTTTGTTTTTGGCAAAGATGGATTAACCTGAACAACTATTTCAGATTAATTATTTATTTCAGATTAATTAACTATTTATTTCTTCCCTGACTCATTCCCCCAACTGATTTGAGGGGCCTTAAAGAATTAGGTGCACAGTATCTCCCTGTTAAAGTGATTAACCGGGGTACATGAAACAGCAGGCCTGCAGAATCAGAAGTGACCTCAAACGTGTTGGATTTGCAAACACAAGTGGAACTGGAGCTATTTCTTGTAAATACCTATATTAAACAAAACTTAAGCTCAATTGATCAGAAGCAGCCAACAAACTTATCATTAGAGATTTTCCAAAGGAGAGACCAAATGAGGTGGCTATCACTGTAGCCAAACATTCTCTGTTTTAATTCTATGACCTCTTTACAAGAGCCTTCCCTTCACAGTCCCTGGGTGGCCCTCCTGAAGTACTTCTGGCTTGGAGCTTCCTGGTTCATGAATCCTTATGTATTCAAATAAACTTTTGGGAGTAGCAGTTAGCATAACGGTTATGTCACTGAACTCCCATGTAGCTGACTGCGGTTCGAGTCCCGGACCCAGTGGCTTGAACTCATGCCAGGCACATGTGCGTGCGTGCCCAAGATCCCAAGAGGAGAATGGAGAAGGGATTGCGGTGTGGCCATCCTCCCTGGTGGGTGATTTCTCGCTTTCTATCTCTCTATCTCTCTCTGTCTGTCTGGCGAGGGCACGTGCCCTATAGCAAAAACCTCTCCAAAAATAAATAAATAAATAAAAAGAAACTCTTAATGTAGTGTACCACTGTCTACCTTTTCAACACCACCAAAGATACTCGGATAAATAACACCTTACTCAGGGCTGGCCTGAGTGGTTAAGTGCTATGTATAGAAAGCGGGATGTCACTGTTTGAATACTGGCCCCGGCAACTTGAAAAACATGACAGGTGCATGTGCGTGCAAGTCCAAAATCCTAATGGGATGGAGAAGTGGAGGAAAGGGATTGCAGTGTGACCACACTCCACTGGAATATGCTTTTAACTCTCTGTCTCTCGCTCTCTTTGGTGAACACACATGCCCACAGGCAATTCAAAATATTTTTTAAGTAATGCTTTACTCATAATTGATGCCTTAATAATCTGATACTACTAGATCGTTGCCCATGGAGTGACTCCTTAGAACTTCCCTAGTTTTAAAACTTGAAGACCCATGGGGTCAGCAGGGGTGTGGTGATTAAAGGTGCTAGATTCCCACACGGCTGACTGCAGTTCGATTCCCGGTCCTGGTGGCTTGCGTTCTCCCTTTCTCTGTCTCTGGTCAAATTTAAAAAATAATAATAATAACAAATGGAATTAAATAAATAAATAATTTAAAAAAAAAAAAAAACCTGGAAGTCCCTTTTCCTGGGAAACTCCACAGACAACTGGGACAGCTGGTCACCCTCATTACAGAGACTCAAGCCCTAAAGTCTAGTTGCTACAGCAAGACTAAAAATTTAGCCCAGATCTTTCTAGCAGTCAAGACTAAGAGGAAAACCATGGTGTAGAATGTTTCGTGTCTCTGGAGTCAGTGTGACAATGAAAATATTCTGCCCAGTATGGTGGTGGGAGGCCACAGTCCCTATGGGACACTTACTAGGTAGCTCGTGTAGTGGAGGAAGAAAATTCTTCATTTAATTTGATTTCAATGGATTTAAACTACCTCACAAAGCTGTGATGAATGTATTGAACAGCACAGCTGAACAAACCAGGCGCTCAGGTAGAACCTCTTTTTTTTTTTTTCAAGAAGTATTTATTTTAACTTTATTTATTTATTTATTTGACCAGAGAGAGAGAGACAGAGTGTGAGAGAAAGAGGGAAAGTGAGAGAGCAAGCTGCCAGGTCCAAGACTTGAACCACAGTTGATCATGTGGGAGTCCAACGCTCTTTAACCACCATGCCACCTGCTGGCCCCATTTTTCTTTTGTGTTTTTTTGTTTGTTTGTTTGTTGTTGTTGTTTTTTAAGAGAGATTTTTGCTATAGGGTACATCAGCTCACCAGAAAATCAAAAAGTGAGAAATAACCCCCCAGGGGGGATGGGTGCACCGCAATCCCTTCTCCTCCAGTCTTCTCTCAGGATTTTGGGCATGCACATACGCCCGGCGTGAGTTGGAAGCTGCTAGGTGTGGGACTCAAATCAGGTCCGCCATGTGGGAGTCTAGCAACACAGTCACTTTGCTGGTCCCAGTAGAACCTCTTGCTGAACATAGAGGCCTGAGGAATTTCCTTTTGAGTTATTGCAATGACATGAATACCACCTAGGTGCTTCTCTTAGATACACGCGCACACACACACACACACACACACACACACACACATATATAGTATATCTATTTTTAAAATATTTATTTACTTCCATTTATTATTATTAATATTATTAAATTTGACCAGAGAGAGACACAGAGAGAAAGGGGAAGTGAGAAAGCAAGCCACCAGGTCTGGGACTTGAACCATGGTTGACCATGTGGGAATTCAGTGCCTTCAACCACCACGCCAACTGTGGTCCCTCCTCCCCCCCCAAAAAAAATTATATATATATAATAGAAATAGAATACAGTATGCCCTTCCCTTACACATGCTACATGCTCAGTGTGCCCACAAACCCTTCCTACACACTCACTCCCTCGATTCTCCAAACCACCCTGCAAGGCTGGATTCCAGAACCCCAAGGAAGAAGGCCACCCCAGGAGCCCCCCGAGAGACCTCTGGCTGCTCCTTCCCTGGCCGAAAGAGTGGCAGAGCGAGCGCTTTTCCCTGACCTTCCTAGGGAGAGCCCGGAGCCTAGGGAGCAGGCAGACGGGCAGAAAAGAGCAGGGGGAGGAAGACGAGAGAGAGAGGCCGAGAGGATGGGGCTCCCAGAGGTCCCACCCCACCCAGAGGCACACATCTGGGGTGTCTGGAGGAGGATGTCCCTGCCAGGTGGCAGGACGTACCTGCACACCCTTAGACATGGACCCTGGCCGGGCTCCCACCAGGACAAACGGCTGTGGCTGGGCCCCCGGTGTCCCTTGCTGCGTGGGCCTGAACGCCAGGCTCCCTCAAGCCTGCTAGGCCCCTGGGGCTGGGCAGCAAAGGAGGCAGGCGTGGCCCTCCCCGTCCCCATGCTTGCTGTGACTGGGAAGTCGATGACTCTCGGGTCAGAAATAACCCCACGGTCAGCTCCCCGCGTGCCACCCTTCCCTCCTTCCATTCCCAGAAAGTCTGGGCCCTGAGTCAGAGGGAAGAGTCCAAGAGTAAACAGGGACCCAGATAACCTGGCATGGGAGGCCCAGAACCACCCCCACGAGAGTCCTGGACGAGCCAGGAACCCCGTGAAGAGCTGCAGTCCGGCCACTCAGCCGTCTTCCTCAAAGGCAGCTTCCCCTGGCCGTGTAGACCTGTGCTGCGGCTGCAAGGGGGCAGCTCTGGTGCCGAGGGAAGGGAGGAGGCTCTCACAGGCGTCCTGGCTGGAAGTGGGAGAAGGGGCTCGACTTAGTCCTTAGAACAGGGGTGGTGGCCCTGCGGGACTCAGCCTCCTGACACAGTGGTACACACAGGCCAGGAACAGCCAGAGGCCAGTCCAGCGTAGAGAAGCGGGGGGTAGGCCCTGGAGCAGGGGCATGGCTTTCCAGGTCAGGCTCCCTCTTCATTCATTCCCTCAAAATAGTCCGAGACACCCCCAGCCCACCCTCGGCTGAGTCACTGACCCCGAATCTCAGCCCAGACTCGGGATGAATGGGGCTCTCCCCTCACCCTCCTGTCCCCTCCCCAGCCCGGAGGACATGTAACTGATGCCCCAGGATGGAAGAGTGACTTCCACACACCCTAAAAATAACCCAACTACTTAATACCCGGCCTCTCACCCCCGCCCTGGCCCACCCCCTGGTCAGCAAGATAAAAGTAGCTGCTGGCGCTGGCAGAGGACAGAGACCCAGGACGGGCAGAAAGACGGTGACCACAGAGCCGGCGGAGCAGAACCAGTCCCGAACAGGAGCCCAAGAGGGAGGACAAGCTCTCTGGACACAGCTGCTACGGACCCCACACACCCCGTTAGCCGAGCGGATCCTCAGTGAGTAATGGCCCCTCTGGGGTAGGGGACTAGGGAGGCTAGGAGTGGAAGAAGGGGCAGAGGCAAGCACAGGTGTAGGGGAGTGGGAGAGGCTCTGTGAAGAATCCACGAAGGCGAAGAGTCCGTGTGCCACGCAAGCTCTACGTGGCTGCCACGGGCCAGAGGCTGGCAGCAAAGACAAGTTCTTTTTTTTCTTTTTTTTTTTTTTTTTTTTTGAGAGGTTTTTGCTATAGGCACGTGTGCTTGCCAGAAAGACAGCGAGACCGAAAGCGAGAAATCACCCCCCAGGGGGGGATGGCCACGCCACAATCCCTTCTCCTCCATTCTCCTCCATTCTTCCAGGGGAAGCTGCCTTTGGGGATCTTGGGCACGCACGCACACGCATCCGGCGTGAGTTTAAGCCACCGGGTCCAGGACTCCAACCACAGTCGACTACATGGGAGTCCAGCGACATAGCCATTACACCAACTGCTGGTCCCAGGGACAAGTTCTTGCCAGTCAGGCATAATCCAGAAAGGCTTAGAGGACGTGGTCCAGGGTTTCCGTTTTTAAACTACAGGATTGGAACTCCTCCAGCTTCAGGCTTTAAGGTGTCCCCCCGGGGGAAGCCTCGGCCAGGCTCTGGATCTGGAGGGGAGAAGGGCAGAAGCGAGGCAGGAGGGGTGGGGAGTGAGGGCAGCCGGCAGGCCCAAGGGTGCATTGCTAGGGCAGACCCAGGCCCAGCTGTGATGGGTGACGGTCTGGGCATATGTGACCCTGGAGGTATTCCAGAGCTTTCTACATATGCCGACCTTAGACCCAGGTTAGGGTGAACTCTGTCCCAGGCCCTGATCCTGCCTGTGGGAAAGCTCTCGGGGCAGCGCCACAGGCCTCAGGTGGGGAAACCAGATCTGAGTTTGTCCAAACATAGATTATGGAGCAGGCTGGGCCATGGGGGAGACTTGGGGGCAAAGGTGGGGGTCATTTTAGAGGCCAACTCAGACCTCAGAGGCCAAGCTCTAGGACAGTTCTTGGGGCTCATCCTAGCCTAAGTCTGGTCTCAGTTCTGAATTCAACTCTCACCACCCCTGTCTGGAGCTCCGGACAGGTGTGGGGTGTTCCTGCCCTGTGTGTCTCCACTGTGCTGGGAGACCCCCAGCCCTGCTCTGAGGACTAAGTTGACCCCCTTCTCCCACTTCCAGCCAGGACACCTGTGAGAGTAAGGCCCAAGCCTCCTCCCTTCCCTCGGCACCATAGCTGCCCCCTCACAGCCACAGCACAGGTCTACACGGTCAGGGGAAGCTGCCTTTGGGGAAGCTGGCTGAGTAGCCGGACTGCAGCTCTTCACGGGGTTCCTGGCTCGTCCAGGACTCCCATGGGGTCATTCTGGGCCTTCCATAGCAGGTTATCTGGGTCCATGTTTACTGTTTTTTAAATAATTTTTTATTGATTAATTTTAATTCTTAGGGTCCCTGTTTACTTGTGGACTCTTCCCTCTGACTCAGGGCCCAGACTTTCTGGGAGCTGGGGGAGGGGAGGTCACCGGGAGCCCAGGGGTCAGGAAGCCACTGCGGGCCTCGCTGCTGCCTGGCTGAGCCTGGCAGACACCTGTGCGCCTTCTGGCCTCAGTCTCCCTGTTCTAACAGGAAGGGGCGAGACACAGCGCCCTGCGAGGGCCCCTGGGTATGACATTCTAACAGTCTGTGACCCTGGTGGGGGTTCTGGAGATTCCTGGGGGGAGGGGAGGGTGGACTGGTGGCCTGCACAAGCCATCTGCACAGGTCACTGTGGTGGTGACAGGATGAAGTGGAGGCGGGAACAGGCACTGGTTTGCCTTTGGCAGGGATCCTATTTAGAGCTCAAAGACTAAGGGAAGCCGCTCAGGGATCTTTTTTTTTTTTTTTTTTTGGAGAGGATTTTGCTATAGGGCGCGTGTGCTCGCCAGAAAGACAGAGAGAGACAGAGAGACAGAAAGTGAGAAATCACCCCCCAGGGGGGATGGCCACGCCGCAATCCCTTCTCCTCCATTCTCCTCTCCGGATCCTGGGCACACATGCACACGCGCCTGGTGTGAGTTTAAGCCACCAGATCCGGGACTCGAACCGGGGTTGACTATATGGGAATCCAGCAACATAGCCATTACGCTAACTGCTAATCCCCCTTTTTGTCATTGCTAGAGGGTGTGTGCACTTGCCAGAGAGAGGCAGAGACAGGAGAGAGAGATACAGAGACAGAGAGATAGAGAGAGAGAGCATTTCCCCCTCAATAGGGCATGGTCATACCACAATCCCCTCTCTTCCCCCTCAATGGGGCATGGTCATACCACAATCCCCTCTTCATGTCTCCATCCTGTCAGGATTTGGGACAGGCACGCAGAAGTGCCTGGCATGTTCTGCAAGTCACGGAGCTGGGGTATGAGCTGCGGTGGGCTACGTGGGCTCCCGCTCCCTCAGCCACAGGCTATGGGCCAGCCCTACCCAGAGTGTTTGGTGAGACTGCAGATTTCAGAGCTCGGACCTCCAGGGTTCTGACGTCTTTGGTGGACACGCCAAGATGGAGGCAAGCAGACCTCAGTCTCCCCTCTCCTCATCCTCCCAGGGTGGCCACAAGGAAGAAGTCCTACTCCCCACCTGCTGCCAGCATCTATCCCCAACACAGGCCTGTGACTAGGGGAGGTTTCCAGGTGTCAGGGACCCAGTCTAGCTCAGGAGACAGGAGGCCCAAGCAGAGAGACCAGGTAGCAAAGGGGACGAGGTGGGCGGAGAGCACCCGGAGTCCCCACTGGTAAGGCCTGAGCCTCCCTCCCAGCCCAGACTGCCTCCCTGGGCCACGACCTCAGCTATGTTTAGCAGTGAGTGTGGAGCAGAGCAGCGGGTCAGGGCAGCGGGAGGGGGAACATGCTTCTCATTCTTTTCCTCCTGGCCTCTGGGGACTGTTAATACACCTGTCACAAGACAGATAGGACATGCATGGGACAGAGACCAGAGAAGGGCGTCAGGGGTGGCAGGCCACTGAGCCAGACGTGGTGCTGGGGTGGTGTGAGGGCCTGTGGGGGGGGTCTCAGCCTGAGGCCCTGCACCCCGGAGGCCCCAAAGGCGCCCTTTGCTTGCACATGATTGGGCAGGGTTTCCATGAGCAAGGGGCAAGGCTGTCTCTGCCCTGGCCCCACTCCGTCCCCTGCCTGTGGGTGTCACCCTCACGTTCTCCTTGAGTGCTGCTGGGGAGCAGAGGGACATCATGACGAACCAAAAAGCTGAATTCAGGACCAGCAGTTCACGTAATGGCAATGTCGCTGGACTCCTATGTAGCCAACTGCGGTTCGAGTCCTGGATACAGTGCCTTAAACTCACACTGGGCACATGTGTGTGCATGCCCAAGATCCCTAGAGGAGAATGGAGGAGAAGGGATTGCAGCGTGGCCATTCCCTTTGGGGGGTGATTTCTCACTTTCTGTCTCTCTGTCTCTCTCTGTCTTTCTGGCGAGTGCACATGCCCTATAGCAGAAAACCGCTCCAAAAAAAATAATAATAATAAAAATAATAATAGCTGAATTCTTAGGGACCAGGCCTGAAATGGAATCCAGGAGCCCCAACTCAGCACTGCCTTCCGCTCACTCACCAAGACCTGTCTCTGGGCCTTGGTTGCATCATTTTTAATGACAAAAGGTTAGGCTAAAATACCCTTGGGATCCCCCCAGCCATGACCTTCTGAGTTTGGGGTACAACCCAGAATTTGGCCCTGTAAACCTCGACTGCTTCTGCTCCATTGTAGATGCCGCCTGCCGGGGCCCGGGGAAGGCTGGGTGAGCTGAGAGCCCATGGGTAGGTAAAGGCTGGCCAGGATGCCCCGTTAAAGGGGCAAGCACAGGCCAGCCCATGGTCTGGTGGTTGAAGGAGCTGAATCCCACGTGGCCAACTATAGAGTTCAAATCCCAGCCCCACCTGCTTGAAAAACATGTCAGACGTGTGTGCAGCTGTGCCCAGAATCCACACAGGATGGAGAAATGGAGAAGTGACCACGCTGCATTGAGGAGTGCTTACTCCCTCTCCCTTCTCTCTCTCTTTCTGTTTCTCTGTCTCATGTCCTCTGGCAAAAATTCAAAAAAAAAAAAAAAAAGGCAAGTGCGCCCTCTGGTGTTCTGCAGAGGAATTTCACCCCCATAGTAACCAGTCACCAGTTTAGGGGCCTGGCTGTCACTACTGGAACTCAGGAAGTCTGGATTCCGCCAGGCCACTCACTGGGCGTCTCTCCAGGAAGAACTGACTTAGGCAAAGGGAGGCGAGAATGGGGTATATCCAGTTTTCCTCCTGGAGGTTTAGGCATCCCTTATGGGGCTGAAGGGAAGAGTCTTGTGACCAGAGGGGCCCTGGCTGTTCCCTAGCAACCCAGGTGACCTGAGGAAGCAGGGGCCCACCTGAACGGATGGGGCTCACCTAGATGGGTCTGTACGTCCTAAGTTTAAGGCTTGTCAGGTCTGCAGGTGGCGTGGACGCTGGACTCCCACTTGGCCAATCATGGTTCAAGTTCCGGACCTTGCGGCTTGCTTTGTCGCTTCCCCTTTCTCTCTCTCTCTGTCTAGTTAAGTTGAAAACTAAAAATCGTAACCAATGGAATTAAATAAATAAATAATTCTTAAAAAAAAAAAAAAGAAAAAAAAAAAAAAAAAAGACTTGTCACACACCAACCATGCAGGTGACAAAGGGAGGCCCAGGCCAGGCTGACCTACAGAGGGAGGGAGATTTTAAGTCATCACCAAGCATCACTCTGCCCCTGGCCCTGCTTTCCGCTATTTCTTGCAGCACCTGGTTCCCAGCCCCATTTTTTTCTTTTTTGAAGAGGTTTTTGCTATAGGGCGCTGTGCGCTCGCCAGAAAGACAGAGAGAGAGAGAGAGAGAGGGACAGAAAGTGAGAAATCACCCCCCAGGGGGGATGGCCACACCATAGTCCCTTCTCCATTCTCCTCTCGGGATCTTGGGCACGCATGCACACGCGCCCAGCATGAGTTTAAGCCATCAGGTCCGGGACTCGAACCATGGTGGACTACATGGGAGTCCAGTGACGTAGCCATGACACCAACTGCTGATCCCCTAAGCCCCATTTTTAAATTTGCCCTTTCTCCTAGAAGCATGGCGGATGCCCAGACCCAGATGGCCCCCACGCCGGCCATCCCGATGGCGACTACAGAGGACCTACCCCTCCCTCCACCCCCAGCCCTGGAAGACCTGCCGCCTCCCCCCCCCAAGGAGTCCTTCTCGAAGTTCCACCAGCAGCGCCAGGCCAGCGAGCTGCGCCGTCTCTACAAGCACATCCACCCCGAGCTCCGCAAGAACCTGGCGGAGGCTGTGGCCGAGGACCTGGCCGAGGTCCTGGGCTCTGAGGAGCCCACCGAGGGGGACGTCCAGTGCATGCGCTGGATCTTCGAGAACTGGCGGCTGGATGCCATTGGGGACCACGAGCCACCAGCTGCCAAGGAGCCGGTGCCCTGCGGTGATGTCCAGGCCACCTCCCGCAGGTTTGAAGATGGCTCCTTGGCCCACAGCGTAGACCGGGAGCCAGCCGCACCCGAGCCACCGCGAGGGGACGTGCGTGCAGCCCGCCAGCTGTTTGAGACCAAGCCCTTGGATGAGCTGAGAGGCCAGGCCGAGGCCCCGGAGGCCGCCGTGAGGGAGCCCGCCGCCAGCGGCGACGTGCGCGGCACCAGGATGCTCTTCGAGACGCGGCCGCTGGACCGCCCGGGCTCCCGGCCGTCCATGCAGGAGCAGAGCCCGCTGGAGCTGCGCTCGGAGATCCAGGAGCTGAAGGGGGATGTGAAGAAGACGGTCAAGCTATTCCAGACCGAGCCGCTCTGTGCCATCCAGGACGCCGAGGGCGCCATTCACGAAGTCAAAGCCGCGTGCCGGGAAGAGATTCAAAGCAACGCAGTGCGGTCCGGCCGCTGGCTCTTCGAGACCCAGCCTAGCAGAGCCCGCTGGAGCTGCGCTCGGAGATCCAGGAGCTGAAGGGGGATGTGAAGAAGACGGTCAAGCTGTTCCAGACCGAGCCGCTCTGTGCCATCCAGGACGCCGAGGGCGCCATTCACGAAGTCAAAGCCGCGTGCCGGGAAGAGATTCAAAGCAACGCAGTGCGGTCCGGCCGCTGGCTCTTCGAGACCCAGCCTCTGGACGCCATCAACCGGGACCCGAGCCAGGTGCGCGTGATCCGGGGGATCTCCCTGGAGGAGGGCTCCCGGCCGGATGTCAGTGCAACTCGCTGGATCTTCGAGACGCAGCCCCTGGACGCCATCCGGGAGATCTTGGTGGACGAGAAAGACTTCCAGCCATCCCCAGACCTCGTCCCTCCCGGCCCGGATGTGCAGCAGCAGCGGCATCTGTTCGAGACCCGAGCGCTGGACACGCTGAAGGGGGATGAGGAGGCTGGAGTGGACGCCCCAGCCAAGGAGGCAGTGGTCCCCGGTGACGTCCGCTCCACTCTGTGGTTATTTGAGACCAAGCCCCTGGACGCCCTCGGAGACAGTGTCCAAGTGGGTCAGCTGCAGCGAGTGGATCCCCAGGGCCAGAGTGTACCCAGCAACGGCTCCTCCCCGCTGTGCCCTGCTCAGAGCGCCCCTCGGAGGGATGAGGTGAAGGGGGACGTGAAGGCCTTCAAGCACCTTTTCGAGACCCTTCCCCTGGACAGCATCAAGCAGGACGAGCCTTGTGCCCCTGGGAGCATGAGCAGGGCAGATGGAGGGGATTCTGGGCCGTCCCAGGGTACAGGGTCCTCAGTGTATGCCATGCAGGACGGCGAGGGCCACCTCCACGCCCTGACCTCTGTCAGCAGGGAGCAGGTGGTCGGAGGTGACGTCCAAGGCTACCGGTGGATGTTTGAGACACAGCCCTTGGACCGGCTGGGCCGCAGCCCCAGTACCGTCGATGTCATCCGGGGCATCACGCGACAGGAAGTGGTGGCCGGGGATGTCGGCACGGCTCGGTGGCTCTTCGAGACCCAGCCCTTGGAGGTGATCCACCAGCGGGAGCAACAGGAACGGCAGGAGGAAGAGGAGAAGAGCCAGGGAGGCCGCCAGCCTGAGGCACCTCCAAAAGGGGACGTGCAGACCATCCGCTGGCTGTTCGAGACCTGCCCGATGAGCGAGCTGGCAGCAGAGAAGCAGGGGTCCGAGGTCACAGACCCCACAGCCCAGGCCGAGGCCCGGTCCTGCACTTGGATGTTCAAGCCCCAAACCCCAGACAGGCCAGGGGGCTTCAGGGAGCAGCACCTTCAGGTGAGCCAGGTCCAGGCTGGGGAAAGACAGACAGACAGACACGTGTTTGAGACTGAGCCTCTGCAGGCCTCGGACCGCCCGTGCGGGAAACAGCCTGTGCGATACTGCAGCCGGGTGGAGATCCCTTCGGGGCAGGTGTCTCGCCAGAAGGAGGTTTTCCAGGCCCTGGAGACAGGCAAGAAGGAAGAGCAGGGGTCCAGGGTGACCCCTGAGCCCATCCCTGCAGGTTCCGTGCACAAGTTTACCTGGCTTTTTGAGAATTGCCCCATGGGCTCCCTGGCAGCTGAGAGTCTCCGAGGGGACAGCCTCCAGGAGGAGCAGTCTGTGGGCCCCTCAGGCAGTGGGACGCTGCAGAGGCAGGACACTGCAGCGGAGGGGACCTTGCGGACTCTGCATGCCACACCTGGTATACTGCATCACAGAGGCATCCTCATGGAGGCCCGAGGGCCGGGAGAGCTCTGCCTGGCCAAATATGCGCTCCCTGGCCAAGGCCAGGGGGCCCCCTATGTACAGAAAGAAGAGGTGGTGTCTGGCGAGCTTCCCAGGATCGTCCGCCAAGTGCTGCACCGGCCAGACGTGGACCAGCAGGGGCTGCTGGTGCAGGAGGACCCGACTGGACAGCTCCGGCTCAAGCCGCTAAGGTTGCCAGCTCTGGGCAACAGTGGAAGCATTGAGGACATGGACCCTGAACTCCAGCAGCTGCTGGCTTGCGGACTAGGGGGCTCCGTGGCAAGGACTGGGCTGGTGATGCAGGAGACAGAGCAGGGCCTGGTGGCCATGACCGCCTATTCCCTGCAGCCGCGGCTACCCGGGCGGGCCCCCGGGAGGGGCCGGGTG